CAGTAAATCTCCCATCACCTGCGGGCTTTCACATTGAGCAGCATTAACTACACAGAGCCGCTGTTCACTGACGAGCAGCGCAAAACCACGTTCATATTCGCGCGATTTTTTGCGCTGCTCATCAGTGAACAACGGCTCTGTGTAGTTAATGCTGCTCAATGTGAAAGCCCGCAGGTGATGGAGATTTACCGCTGATTACAGAACTGGCTTTCTGACAAGATGCGCGTTAAATATCGCATGCAATTTATCGTGCAGCCCTATTGGATAGGTTATTATCCAGTTTTTATGCTTATTACCTGGAATAGGATACATAGTAGGGCTGTCACGATTCCTTAAATTAGAGTACTTGATTATAAAAAATCCTCAATTGCAAAATACCGGGAGTGGCGCATTCCACAGATGAGAATCCATGAAAAGCATTATTAGACCATTTTGTACGGCTGCACGAAATATTAAAACAATTTAAAAATCATAATAAAGCATAGTGCTATTATGAATTCACAAAGGCTGTGAAAACAATCGTCAGGCCGTTGGCGCCTTGTACATAAGTTATGATTATATTATGTAAATAAACTGTTTTGTTCAATAAAACCATATAATTACTTGCTTTTGATATTTAATTTGAACCCGTTATTATTGCCTCATTGCTATTATAAATGTATTTTAAGTGATTTTAAAGTCTATTGTTCGCTTAGGTCTATTTTTATTATCACAAAAAAATATCCGATTACTCGATTAATTGTCAGAATAATCGACTGATTACTCGATTAGTGCCAGCCTTAATATATGGATTTAAGCGTTCATCACTAGACTTGCAGTTGACTCTTGTTCTCACTGTCCACTGTCTTCCTCAGGACTTCTGTTTCCTGCTATCCACCCGAGCTGGAGGGCTTGGGATTAACCTGGCCTCTGCTGACACAGTGGTTATCTTTGACTCGGACTGGAACCCACAAAATGATCTTCAAGCCCAGGCTAGAGCCCACAGAATTGGCCAGAAAAAGCAAGTAAGTAGAGCATGAATCTTCGACCTAATGTGTAACCTCACATACTTCTGGAGGAACCTCCAGAATGGAGTCATAAGTAGCAGTACATAGATTGCAATTAAATATATTTTGGGGGTTTTGCCATAGGTGAATATCTATCGTCTGGTCACAAAAGGCACGGTGGAGGAAGACATTATTGAAAGAGCCAAAAAGAAGATGGTTCTAGACCATCTTGTCATTCAGAGAATGGACACCACTGGGCGAACCGTACTAGATAACAACTCAGGAAATTCAAAGTGAGAACCTTGAATATTAAATAGAATTGTTGTTTTAAACATATTTTGTAACAAATAATGCATATCTGTGTGTTGGCCGTCTCCAGTTCAAACCCCTTCAGTAAAGAGGAATTGACAGCAATCTTGAAGTTTGGAGCAGAGGATCTGTTTAAGGAACCTGAGGGGGAGGAATCAGAACCGCAGGAAATGGACATTGATGAAATCTTGCGGCTTGCTGAAACCAGAGAGAGTGATCAAGGGTCTAGTGCTACAGATGAGCTTCTGTCACAGTTTAAGGTACTTTATTCAATCTTTTATTGTTGTGGCATATTTTCTCCTGAGCCTTGGCCCACAACTCCTGTTTTTCCTCTGGTAGGTTGCTAACTTCACCATGGATGAAAGTACACCAGATCTTGAGGAGAGGCCTATACGTGATTGGGATGACATAATTCCAGAGGAGCAGCGGCGGAAGGTGGAGGAAGAGCAGAAGCAGAAGGAGATGGAAGACATCTACATGCTTCCCAGAAGCAGAAGCTCCAACAAGAGGGTAAGGAGGTGTTTCTAGGTTACCTGAGCTAGTTATTGCCTGTATTTTCATGTACTGTCTAGGGTTGTGCCATCTTAAAGCTGCAGTCCATAAGTTTTGCCTCTTTGTCGCCATCTCTGTTTGAAAACCTGGAATTGCAGTTGTGTGCGGAATTATCTAGCTTGCGTGGGTTGTGAGTCGTTATGGCTCCAGCGCGGATGAATCTAATGTTCTGAAGAGTATTTGTGGCAGTCAGTCACCGCACCGGTGTGGATATTTACTGTACTTCGCAATCACAGATTATAGCCTACGTCTTGGAATATGACCCAAATAAGAATTTTCACCGTATATTGCCATCTGAACAAGTAACAAGTCTGCCATGTTTGTTCTGACCAACTGAGGAAAAAAGCATGTCCATAAATCTCGCTACCAATGGTGATTAAATCGAAAGATCGGTTAGCTCATATCACATCAAACCGTTCAAATTATTATTATTGTTATACTTTATTCTCAAATGATTAATGTTAAGAACATCAGCATTGATGACTATGAGTATAGTGTGTATTAGCGTGTAGATTTCAATTTCTGCACAGTCTAATCTAATTGTCATAGTCTTCGAATTTCATATTAAGAAATTCTTTTAACCCAAAAAGCAAATTATGCTCCCTTCGAACTGGTTTTCTTTAAAATACAAATCTTTGTAATCCCAGGATATCTGTAATCAGTAGCACATTTATAACTGGAATATAATTTAATTTCATTCACATGTGTTTCATAAACACATAATCCTTTATGGATTACAATCCGCCATTAAAATTATACATTTAATTATTCCAGCTGCTGTGAGAAAAGGCTATAAACGATTGGCCACCTGCAGGATTCTCACATGCGATAGCCTAGTAGCCGGGACAACTTCTTTATGTTAACAGTAGTGACGTAATGACAGTGCCATGCTCGAATTTCCCGCGAAAACCTACCCGTACCACTCAAATTAGAAAAAATTATTATAAGCTGACCGATGTGAATCAGGCTAAAGTAAGGTGATAGTTTTGAACACTGGCTGGTTATGTACATGCTCAAATATTGATTTCTGATAATTTTTAACCAAAAAAAGTTACGGACTGCAGCTTTAAATTGGGTAAGAGATTTTTTTTATGGAACCCACGGTAGGGCTGAATAATAATTCAATATCAATATGTATCGCGATATAATTTTTTTCAATAACGGTGATATGATTTTTAAACACATTTCCGATATCTCGATATACATTACCAGTGTTTCCCATACATTGGTTTATTTGTGGTGTTTGATTTCTGTCTTCAGAAAAGTTTCGATGGCATTTTTATTTGATCTGATAAAGTAGCGTTCATGCGTGCAGCTGCTTTGATTACAGTTGTTACCGGGGAATACGCTAGTTTTATCACTCTAAAAGCGCTTCCTGCTGGCAGAGAATTAGTTTGCATTTTCAATAACAAGCCCGTCTCCAGCAACATGTTTTTGTTGTTGCTCAATTTTTTTTCGCATCATATGACCCCTTTAACAGTAAGATTTTTATTGTTGTTTTTTTTAAAGAAGTCTCTTCTGCTCACTAAGGCTGCATTTATTTGATCCAAAGTAGAGCAAAGCAGTAAAGTTGTGAATTATTTTTACTATTTAAAATAACTGCTTTCTATTTGAAAGCAGTTATTTTAAATCTTCAGAAATCATTCTAATATGCTAATTTGCTGAATATCAATATTTAAAACAGTTGAGAACATTTTTTTTCAGGACTCTTTGATGAATAGAAAGATCCAAAGATCAGCATTTATCTGAAATAAAAAGCTTTTATAACATTGTACACTATTCCATTCAAAAGCTTGGAGTCAGTATAATTTTTTTTGGGAAAGAAATTATAGAAATATTATTTAGCGCTGCAATTTTATTTGATTAAATAACAGCAATGAAAATGACTTGTACATAACTTACATGGGGCTTTTTTTTGCATAAAGGTTTAAAAGGATTTTCAGCTCTGTAAATAGATATGATTCACTTATCAGCATGCATTTATACTATACATGTGTATATCAGTGGACATGATAAATGTGTGTACATGTGTGTACCCTGTGGCTTTTCAGCGCTTTTATCCTCTCCTGTGAGCTGGATCCATAATATCTTGCGCAGGCTGTAATGACTCGTTAGATTTTATAGCCACGCGCTGCTTTCCCATGTGATGGCAGCACATGTTTAAGTATGAAGCATCGTAGCTTTTGGAAATGAGTCATTCAGTTTTACAGCGCAGTGGACTCCCCGGCGATAAGGCCGTGTGTGCGTTTGCAGCCACATGCTCATTACTTTTGCTTTACGCTAGAGATGATTTAATCCGTCCACAAAATATTCATATTCCTAAAAATATATTATATTCCTAAAAATGGTTTTGCTAATCTATGCTTGGAGAGAATGGATAAATACAAGAAAAATACAGTTTGCAAAGATATGTCATAGCACATTTTGTAAAAGATGTATTGTGCTGTTTTTTTTAGGCGCAGGCCAATGACAGCGACAGTGATGTGGGATCCAAACTGAAGCACAGATCCTCGGGTTCAGACAGTGAAACAGATGACAGTGAGGATGACAAACGGCCCAAGCGGAGAGGCAGGCCGAGAGCTCGCAAAAACAATGTGGAGGGATTTACTGACGCAGAGATCCGCAGGTAATATAACTTAACGTCCACTCACTGATTTAAGAAAGGCTTTGCTGTAAACATTGCATTTACTTAATGGTCTGTTTATTTTAGGTTCATAAAGGCATACAAGAAATTTGGAGCTCCGCTTGAGAGGTAAAAAAATACTATGATCAGAAATTATTATTATTTTTTTTGTTGTTGTTGTAATTCCAAATGTTGTATTCTATACATCAAATCAAAGTTTATTTACAGAGCTTTTTTTTTTTTTTTTTTTAAACAACTGTTGTTTCCAAACTGCTGTACATGCATAAACAATTTATATGCTATTATAATATTTATTAATATTTTGATTTATATTTTATAGCTATATTTTTGGATATTGGTATATTTTGTTAATTTTTTAATGTGCTTTTGTCATTATGAATTTTTGTTTTTATAATATTTTTTATTTAGCTTTCATTTATTTGTATTTCAGTTTTAGTGTTTAGTACTTCAACTTGAAATTTAAACAAAAATTGGAATTGCAGACCTGTTTAAGTTTTTCATCTAATATTTATATTTTAATTCTGCTTTATTTCAATTAACAGAAACAATTTTTAATAGTTTTTTAGTTAACAACAACATGTAGTCCAATTAGAAGTAGTACTGAACTGGTTATGGTGTTTTCTACAGGTTGGAGGCGATTGCCCGTGACTCAGAGCTGGTGGATAAGTCCATTGCAGACCTGAAGCGACTGGGGGAACTGGTGCACAACACCTGTGTGACTGCAGTGCAGGAGCATGAAGAGCACATGAAAGAAAACCCCGTGGAAGGTGTGTGAATGTTAATAGCAGTGCTGAGTAAAAATAGTGATTGACTTTGCTCTCTTTTTTTTATTGTCTTTTAATTTGTATTATTTCTTTGTTGCAGCTAAAGGCCCGGGGAAAAGACGAGGCATTAACATAAAGATCTCTGGAGTTCAGGTCAATGCTAAGTCTATTATCCAGCACAAAGAGGAGTTTGAACCGCTACATAAAGCCGTGCCTTCAAATCCTGCTGAAAGGAGCAAGTGAGTCCTAATCAAAGCTATATTATACATTACACATTACATTTAGTCATTTAGCAGATGCTTTTATCCAAAGAGGACAATGGAAGCAATCAAAATCAACAAAAGAGTAATGATATATAAGTGCTATAACAAGTCTCAGTTAGCTTAACGCAGTACACGTATCAAGGGTGTTTTAAATAATATAATAAATAAAAAGAAAACCGATAGAATAGAAAAAGAATAGAGCAAGCTAGTGTTGGAGGTCTTTTTGCTTTTGTTAATTGTATAATATATGAAAAGAAAACATAGAATACAAAAAGATTAGATTGTTTAAAGAAAACAAGCAGCAAATGAATAGAGTGCAAGTCTAAAAGGGACAAGTGTTTTTTTTTTTTAAGAATAGAATTAGAATAGAGAGTGCTGGAGTTAGAGGGTCAAATAAAGATGGAAGAGATGTGTTTTTAGCCGATTCTTGAAGATGGCTAAGGACTCCGCTGCTTGGATTGAGTTGGGCAGGTTATTCCACCAGGAGGGAACATTGAATTTAAAAGTCCGTAAAAGTGATTATATTATAGATTCTTTTTCATAATATAGTGCATAGTTAAGTTGCTACAGACACAAACTGCAGTGTCTTAACCATTGCAAGCACTCTCTGGGTGGAGATTTAATCAAGCCACTTAAATTTGATATGAAGGTTTTATTGGGGAGCTCAGTTCAGTTTCAGTCCAAATAACAAAATATACATTCCTGGGTGGTGCACCATTCAAAATTTATTTGAGAATGCCTTTTAAATCCAAGTTTAATTGAGGCTATGCTATTGAATTGAGGTAGCAAATAGTATCTAGAATTTAAGGAAGTAGAATCAGGAAAAAAAAACGGATAACTGGCTAAATACAGTTTTTGTTTGACTTATTAAATTCTAAACGCATACAACATAATGGGATTTATAATCAGTTATCAAATAATTATCCAATTTACTCAATATTATATAATCAATATATTTTGTTGTCAGTGTCAGAGTTAAATTTGTCTGCCAGAATGTAAAGTTGTGCGAACATAATGTGGTAAATTTTGACTGTATTGAACTTAAATTGAAAAAAAAAAAAAATCCAAACCGTTGAAAAATTGGCATAATTAGTCAAAATTAAATCACAATCTAATGAAATTCCTCTGCTGTGTGACTTCAGTTTTTTTTTCTGTCAAAGTCATATTTTTGTGGTGCATAGCCAATTCAATTCTAATTGCATTAATGCATTTTAAAGAATTCGATTTTTAAGTTTTCCCAACACTGATCCATTCATAAACAAGGAATAGAATGAGACTGAATAGAGTAAGTCAAGTTTTTCTTCTTTGTTGGCCAGATTTCAGCTGACCTGTCGGGTGAAGACTCCACACTTTGACGTAGACTGGGATATTCATGATGACACACAGCTGTTACTGGGTATCTATGAACACGGCTACGCCAACTGGGACCTGATCAAGACCGATCCTGATCTCAAACTTTCTGAGAAGGTACGTTGAGTCAAATTATAGATTCCTCCGAGTTAAAAGAGCAGCATCAACGATGTGCAAGTTTGCCTTACTTTACCTCAGATCTCCTGTTGTCTTTATTTGTAGATTCTCCTAGATGACCCTGATAAGAAACCTCAAGCAAAGCAGTTACAGATGCGAGCAGACTACTTGCTTAAGATGCTGAAGAAAGAGCAGGAAAGCCAAGATGCTGTTAAAGCTGGAGATGAGGTGAAGATCATGGGTTTTTCACCACATTCGTAAAAAAAGTTTTTTAGACTTGCGACACCTAGTGTTTTGGAGGACAATCTGATATTGTAAAACAATAAAAGTTCTTAAAGGGGTCATATGATGCGATTTCAATTTTTCCTTTCTCTTTGGAGTGTTACAAGCTCTTGGTGCATAAAGAAGATCTGTAAAGTTGCAAAGACTAAAGTCTCAAATCCAAAGAGATATTCTTTATAAAAGTTAAGAGTCAGCCACACCTACCTAAAACGGCTCGTTCTAACACGCCTCTACGTCACGATGTGGGAAGATTTGCATAACACCGCCCAAATGTTCACGCAAAGAAAGAAGGCGTAACTTTTATTCTCGCTGTAGTATTATTGAGGCCGCCATGTCGTGAAGGCGCTGTGTGTTTCGTTGTGAAAGCGAAACTACTTTGTTTGGCCTTCCAAAAGAGGACGATATCCGTTTCGTCATGCCTAGAGCTGATCCGTGCTGGTTGCTGAGGAAATACAACAACTTTGCGCTGTGGATCACCGGATCGGCTTTCACCATGGACGAAGCGGAGTCCAGCCCAGGGTCGTCACATGTGGTTGCCGCAAGCCTCCTTCGTCGAATCCGCCGGCCACGCCGTTCTCAACCCCGCCGCCTCTGCTCACTCTAGCCCTGCGGCCATTCCTCACTCTAGCCCCTGGCCTCTGCTCACTCTAGGCCGCTGTGTGTGACGCTGTGTTTCGTTGTGAAAGCGAAACTACTTTGTTTGGCTTTCCAAAAACACAAAATAATGTTATTTTTAGCAACATCATATGACCCCTTTAAGGTGGTGGAAAGGATTAGATTACAAGATTACCATGTGGTCATACTTAAATGGTTTTGTGCCAGCAGCTTTAAGTCAAAAATGTGTTTGCAAAGGCATTTCAAAAAGAAACCTCTTCTTGTCATATACTAAAGATCAGTTCAGCCAATATGCTTTATGACATTTTCATTCTTTGTATCTTCCCACCTCCCAGAAAAAACCCAAAAAGAGGAAACCTCGAATGAAGAACAAGGCCCCTAACAATGATCTGGTCAATGAAATTGCCTCTCCTCGTCTCTCCGACAACCCATCAGAAGAGGGAGAAGTGAAGGTGTGTTCCTTTTATTTCATCTTATCACCTATATAACAAAACAGATTGATTAATGCAGAGATATAAAGACAGAATCCACAGCACTAACCAGTTAGACTGCATATTTACAATTCCCTCGTTTTCCAGGACGATGGAGCTGAAAAATCACCCACAAAGAAGAAACAGAAAAAGGATAACAAAGAGAACAAAGAAAAAACAGGAACTCCTAAAAAAGAGAAGGAGGGGGACAAAGACAAAAAGCGTTCCAAGTCCAAAAAAGAGAAGGTATTTTATATGTTGGCATCAGTATTATGTTTCAGCATGAGAACATTTCCTTTAGAAACTTGGACTTGAGAATTATGTTTCACCGTCATCCTGTGGACAATGGTTGTTAGATCAACAGGTTGACTCAGACTCATGATTTAGACCTAAATTATACTGCTATTATAATTAAATTCTCTGTTATAAATATAAAAGTATTAGTTTGGCTTTTTTTGAAAATTCAATTACTTTTTTACGTCCAGGTTGGATCAGACTAAATCTGTATATAATAAGGTTATATCATGTGTCAATGTGTCTCTCATCAGCTCAACTTCTCTCATTTTCAGGCCAAACCAGGAGGAAAGGGGAAGAAAGCTCAAGGCCCTGTGCACATCACTGCAGGAAGTGAGCCTGTACCTATTGGAGAGGAAGATGATGAGCTGGACCAGGAAACGTTCAGCATTGTGAGTGTTAAAATTCTCCTTCCTTCATCTTAGTCTTTCCTTTTCAAGGCATGATGTATAACTGTAATGTATGAAGAAATATGTTTATGTTTTTAACGTCCTGAGTGAAAAATGTGATATAATGTGTGTGCAGTGTAAGGAGCGGATGAGGCCGGTGAAGAAGGCTCTGAAGCAGTTGGATAAGCCAGACGAGGGGCTGTCGGTGCAGGAGCAGCTGCAGCACACTCGTACCTGCCTGCTGAAGATTGGAGACCGCATCACAGAGTGCCTTAAATTGTATAGTGACCCTGAGCATGTCAAGACCTGGCGCAGGTATCTCAACTACACATTACACATCCGATTTCAAAAGTTCCCATTATAATTGAACAGTATATTCAACCCCGCTTTTAATTTGTCAGAAACCTCTGGATTTTTGTGTCTAAATTTACTGAGTTTGGTGCCCGGAAACTGCACAAGCTGTATAAGATGGCTCAAAAGAAGCGCTCCCAAGAAGAAGAGGTAAGCTCGTCTTAAATCCACAGTTCTTAATGATATTGTTCTCCTCATGTGCCACTTACTCACTTGCTCCTCGTATTTCTTACAGAAAGAGCAAAAGAAGAAGGATGATCCCGCCAAGAAAAAATCCTTCAGACCTGAACCGTCTGGATCTAGCCGGGACTCTACAGGTACCCAGCTCACAACCAAACCTCATCCTTCGGTCAACCATCCACCTGGACCTCCCCCTCACTCCCACCACAGAGAGCAGTACAACCAGCCCAATAAAAGGCACTTTCCTAATGACGGTGAGAGCTGCAACAATCCGGTTGTTTGACATCAGGTTGTCACCGTTTCCGGGTCCAAACACATAGATCGGGAAACAAACAATCAGAACATAAAAGCAAACAATAAACAGCTAATTTGCAATGTGCTGTAGTACGACTAAACGAATAGTGCTCATAAATGGCTTTTGAGAAAGTATTCGCACTTGAAATGGAGAGGAGGCTTGGACCCAGAAACTGTATTCATGACATATTACAGTTTGATTAGCTGTATGTAATTTATGGTTTTGATATCAGAGATTTTGAACAACTGTAAATTGTCATTTATGATTCCAGTTGTAATTTTTAAGGATCAACTGTCTCATTTGGTACCTTGTGCATCTTTTAACAGATAGGGGAGATTGGCAAAGGGACCGTAAATACAGCTACCCGGGCAACAGCAGTCAGCCCTGGCAAGGGGATCGGCATCACTCATATGACACTCACAGGTACAAGGACCATCACTATGGTGACCGTCGTCCTCATGGTGACTACCGCAGCTCAGGAGGTTACCGGAACAGCGGCTCCCCTCGCAAACGACCCTATGACCAGTATGGTAATGATAGAGATCATAGGGGCCATCGAGACTATTATGACAGGTGAGCAAGAGGGGCTTTTTATTAAAGGGGTCATATGACGTTGCTAAAAAAGAATATCATTTTGTGTATTTGGTGTAATGAAATGTTTATGCGGTTTAAGGTTCAAAAAACATTATTTTCCACACACTGTACATTATTGTTTCTCCTCTATGCCCCGCCTTTCTGAAACGCGTCGATTTTTACAAAGCTCATCGTTCTGAAAAGTGAGGTGTGCTCTGATTGGCCAGCTATCCAGTGTGTTGTGATTGGCCGAATACCTCAAGCGTGTGACGGAAATGTTATGCCCCTTGCCATACTGTGATGCCCTGTCCCGGCGAGAAGAGACAAAACCAATAAAACCCATTATAAACGAGGTATTTGTTGCATCCAGTGGGGACATAATTACTGATTATAATGACTTATACTGTCTTTTTACGCGTTGCGTTGCATCGCACCGCGTAATCATAAAAGTTGTGTCCTCTTATGGAAGGCCAAACAAAGTAGTTGCGCTTTCACAACAAACACACAGCGTCTCCACGACATGGTGGCGGCGCCAACAGAGAGAATAAAAGTTACGCCTTCTTTCTTTGCATGAACAT